AATTAAACCTGAAGAGTGATATCACCTTGAAGTAGATAATATATAATATACCTGTGCCCCACATATAATAATCAAGGCAAAGTTTGTAAAAGTATTTTTGGATTGTATATTTATAAGCATCTACAAACAGGTGAGCAAGAGACCAACAAAACTCCTCGTAATATCAAAGATGAACTGAAGGCAATGCTAATGTCAACATTCACCAACTTAAAAAAGGGGGAGCATCCAGAAGAGTTGCAGGAGATTCCAAAGTTGTCTGGAAGCCATAGTTGAAACCAATGTAGATTTTATTGAATAAATTTACTTTTTTTTTTTCAAGATTTTTTTGTGTAATTTTGGTAAAGATATATGTTAAAATGAGATGTCAGTATTAGTTTCATTTTTGTGTAATTTAGATGACAATTTATCTATCGTACCATATACATATACACACACACATATATATATGTATATATTAATTAAATTTTTCTTGTCTGTCATAGTCAATGAAACATGTTTAAAAGAAAGCCCTGTGTGTGTGTGTATATATATATATATAAAGAAAACTAACAGAGAAAGTGGGAAAGAACCCACAGTGACTTTCTGATTTATTTCAACTTTAAATTTAAATAAAAAAAATTTAAACTTAATATTCAACAAAAACATAATTTATTAGTTCAAGATTCTTTTATATTTACAGAAAATTAAATACACTCTTAAGAAATTTACTTTTGTTCCACTTATATATAATCATGTTATGAAATGTTGAGAGGGTGAAAATTTAATCTTGTAAAAATATTCAACTCATACACAATGAAAAAGAAATAGAAACGAAGAAAGCAGATAAATTGTAAATCCCAAAATTTTATATTTCAGAAATTGTGGAAGTGTTTACAAAAATTGTTTTTCCTTTTTTTTTATAATCCAGTTTCTTCTTATAAAGACAGTTTTTATATGGCAGGGAATAGACAATTCTTAACTATGACTCAGACTGATACATCTGGCTGCTACTCAGACTACCACATGGACTCTAACTGGACTAACTATTCTATATGTTGCCCATTTATTTATACCTCATGTGTGGACATCAAAGCAGATACAAAATGTCTGCAAATATTTAACAGAAAAATGCTCAGCTCAATTTGAAAGTGTATTACTTGAAGAGTATTCAATTTCTAATAACTGTACATGCTTAACAGGCAGAAACTATACAGATTAATAATTTCATATGTGTTTTAAATGCTTTGTAAATATTATTATCTTTCTCCATAAATTATAAGTAAATTAAATTTTAAGTTGGTATCCACTCAGTAGGGATATTGTAACTTAATAATTTTTAATGTTTTTATTTTGTCTTAAATTGATTAATTTATAGAATGTTTTAATAATGTGTGTTATAATTTGAATCTGTTTTACCAAATCTTAATATATACAATTTTTAAAAGTTTTTCTTCATAAACACTACAATGTAAATAATATAAGCATTTGTGAATTTGTAAAATCAGGAATATCCATAAACAGTTCCTGTTTAAATTAAGAAAACATACAGCAATACTTAGGAAATTTTATACTTTGGTTTGTTTAACTTTGTATCACTTTAAGAATATTTTAACTTTAGAGTAAAAAAAAAAAAAAAATCAGTTTGGTCAATCTGGTCTTGTCATATTTTCAATTTTCTGCCAGTGACCTTTTTACATTCAGAAAAAAAACCAAGAAAAGGACAAAATCTATTTTTGTCTTTAATGCATTGTTTTTAATTTTAGGTTTTTGTTATTGGAATCACTCTTTATTTCTGTCTTAAATGAATTGTTCATTATGCACAAGACAGTTTGAAAATGGTAGAGAACAACAGAAGGATAACAACTTTGTAATTGGTTTGCCATTTTAGATTTGCAACAATAACAGTAGATTAGATACTTTTAGATATATACACATACTTTTGTTTACAGGGTGTGGCAGTTTTTTAAAGAGCTCTATATTCTAACTTATTTTTATTAGCTTCTTTTTCAGATAATTAATGTCACTCATCAAGTTGACTCAGCAAATGAAAAGGCATGCTTTAATCATTACCTTAAAAGACAATAAAGACAGCTCATTCCTTGAAAGTTGCCCAATATTTTGTTATCAAAATTCTAAAGGAATTGAAAGTGACTGATGGGGATCAATAGCTGTAGCTAAATGCAAAAGAAATATGCTAAGATTCCTAATACCATCTGAACACTTAACTTTGTATGAAAGAAAATAATAAATAAAGTCAATCAAAGCCATTGCAAATGATTTCAAGTCATCAGAGTGCACCATCAGAAGAGATGGGAATGAGGACATTCAGTACAATTCATATGTGATGCAGAAAGGTCTTTTCATGTTTGAAGAGACAAGAGAGCATCATTTCATTCATATGAAGTGCTTGCTAAACAAGCTCAAACACTAGGAGGATGGAATGCTTTGGTTTATCAGCAAAGAGAAAACCTTTGATTCAGGCAAAAAGGTAAACCAATGAACTTGACTGAGGTTCCAAAGGTCATGCATACCAAGTTTGCAGCAGCAGAAATTGTTCTGGGAGTTGTCAGCAATGAGAGAGATGCCATGCATCCTCATTTATTTCCTCCGTGCTTTATAGTCAATGCTGCCATCTATTAGAAGGTGTTGGAGAAGTTTGTGAAGCCCTGAACTGACTGTGTATGGCAATAGAAGACCGTTTGTCTTCCAACACAATTCTGCAGCATCTCATATGGCTAACACAAGCACAAATGTGTGGTAATATCCATAATCACATTCGCCTAAACACATGGGCTCCTAGCTCACCAGACCTGAACCCAGTGGACAATTGCATATGGTGCATAGTGAGGAGAGAGGTCAATCAATGTCCTTGTAACACCATAAAATCTCTCATCCACCATAACCAGGAACATGCCTCAAAATAATAAAGATCAACTGATTTGGGCATTTCAACACTTCTGACCCCATATTAAAAAAAGCCAAGTGCGTATTCAATGAATAGGTGTGATAAAAGAATTTTCAAGATTATTTGTGCTAATTTTTTTCCAAATACACTTTTCATTTATGGGCTATCTGTTTTTTTTTTCTGAATTTATGTAAATGTCCTCAAAAACTGATGCAGCACATATATATATATATATATATGCATCCAGGTTTATTAAAAAAGAATGAGTAGATTTTGAAAATTTAATAAAAACAAATGCTAAGGGAGAGGAACACATTCAACACATTACTTTGTTTCTAATGACATTTTTGTACCACACCTGAAAAATGAGTCTCAGTATGCAGGCCTGAAGGCTTCCATATACCAAAGAAGAGGTGACACTGCCAAACCAAAACCTCCCTTTTTTGCAGCTGTGGTGAAACAATATGTCTCCTCTATGTGGGCAAATGTGGAATTGCAATGGATGTAAAGTCTTTATTGTAAATTCTTCATTGTTTGATTTGTTTGTTTTTATAGCTTATCAATATTTTGCAGGTTATTTAAAGCCATAAAACATTTTTAGATTGTAAAAACTTTTTGGTGATAAGAATGATTTACTGATACAAGTCCTACTAATTAACTCATAGCTGGAGGGATAAGAAGTGGATTTCTATGTTTCCCAGTTGGATTTGGAATTCTGCTTTTTAAAAATTCCAAGTCATTCTCCATTACATCAGCCACACATTCAAGCTTACATCCCATGATATTCCGAAACGGTTACCCATCTAGGTACTAATTAGGCTCAATATTGCTTAACTTCAGTAATTGCACAGGATCCAGTTTTTCAATGTGATGTGGCCATAAGCATAGCATAAATGGTGATAAAATGTTCAAATGTTTTCATTTTTTTGTGATTTCTAATATTTCTAGATAGAAAAATTTAGATTATGATAATGGTAAACATTTGGCATTCATTGACCAAGCAGCCAGTACTGTTTTTGGCTGAATTTTATAAAATATTTCTCTTAAAACATGTTATGATCCAGAATGATGATTATATTTCATCATTCTAAAAATAAACTTGCCATCAGTCATGATAGAAAAGAAAGATATTTTATCATCCTGATCCTTGTCATTATAAAAACAACCCTCCCACAAGAGAGTCAGTAGAGTAGAGAACAGTAGCAGTAGTTAGTAGACAAGTAGCAGCACAGAGACACATGTCTAGTCAATGCTTTATGAAGATCAAAAACAGATGAATTCAAATGCCATACTCACAAACAAAATTCTCGGAACCAAACCAAGTAAGCACTGACTTTTAAACAAAAAGACACTGAGAACATTTTCACACATGCCACACTAATATTCTGTAATTCATATCCCAAAAAGAAAATACAAATTCTTGTTATTTATGTCAATATGTGTCTCGAGTTTTTATTGTTGTTATCATTGTAGGTTTTATGCATTTTAATTTGTCATTCATACCAAGCCCGTTACAAACACATTTTTTTAGGAAAACAGGTTTCTCAAGTTCAGTAGGTTTTATTGTTATTTCATGTATTGGGATTTCCTTTTTAAACTACTATCTTAAGTAGTGTGAAATGTTAACATCTTGATTAAATCATTATTTTCTCTTGAAGTTATATGTGCTATGCATTTTAGTTGATGTTGCTAGTCCTCAAGTGATGTGGTTTCTGTTATTTGGTACAGTACTTTATAGTTCTGTAGCTCCAGCCCATGAGGTTAGAAGATAGACAAATAAGTCTACATAATGAAATGATGAAAAGCATTTATTTAACAGAATAAGCATTTTCTCTTCGAGTTACATCTGCTATCCATTTTAGTTGTTGCTGCTTTTGGTAGTCCTCAAGTGATGTGGTTTCTAAAATTGGAACTTGGAATTTCAAGCCATTAACCATTACACCACCTACACATGCAAGCTTATAGCAGCTGGTACTCTAAAGTGGTCACCCATCTAGGCAATGACCAGGCTTGATGTTGATTAACTTTGATGACCATATGAGAACAAGTGTTTCAACATGTAGCCATAAGCTCTTCCAATTCTTCAAAGCATAGATATATGGCTGAAAGATCAGACTTACCTAAATATTGTCTGTACAGCTACAATTGTGTTACAATCTGCCAATGTGTCTTCCTCTGCAGAATTTGAACTCTCTTTGTTAACTATCACAACATTATCTGCCAGGTTGATGCCAGCCCGCAGTAGATCATCAAGGCTGTGAAAAAGAAATCAGAATATTAGCAAAGATAATTTCCATTATAAGTGTACAATAAAAAAAAAAAAAAAGACTTGTCCTTATCTTTGTTGTTGTTATCACAAGGTGTATGTAAATCTGGGTACACCTGATGAAGGCTAGAGAGCAAAACAGCCGAAACATGATAACAATAACAACGATGGAGAGAATAGTCTTCATCTAAATAATGATAACACCTCATACCCAAAATTCAGACAAAAAATAAAACAGTCTTACTTTGAATAAAAGTTGAGTATATATATATATATATATATATACACACACAAATGTAAAAGAACGAAGAGTAAGATTTCATCATTCAAAACATTAATTTAAAACAGGGCTCAATACGAAAGTAGAGCAATAAATATTTGTTTATTATGCAGTGTTACATTGTAGCATTGTGGTCTTCTACCTGATGGAACGTTAAAAGAAACTTTTTAACATTGAAACAAGATGTACAGTTTTGTAGTGGGTATATGCATGTTCTAATGTAACACTGCATAATATATATAATTTAGTAGCATCTAGTAGTATTTATTTTAAATTGGAAGTCTTTGAAAACAGAGGTACATTTTCTTGAAACTTTACATGAAAGTTGTTTGTGACATTTTATTTAAAATAGGAAATTAATATATTTGTCAGTAAATAAAGTGCACATTTAAAAAAAAATTCTCCAAAAATCACCCTGTGTCTTATACTTTTTCCTCTTCAATGTGCCACATACCTTCAGTACAAGGGCAATCATGGCTCTCCAAAACTTCCTATCACTTTTGGTCTTTAGCAGTTTTTCTATTTTGCCTCCTGTCCTCATTGCATCATCAATTCATACAAGCTCACCATGTAGGTGACTCACTGCTTTCCCCTATCTCTGTTGCCTTCAATATACACCCTGTGAGGGTTAAGTTTCTCAATCATTCCTGTCCAAGAAATTTCAGTTGTCTCTTCCTGATTCTGAGCATGTGTTCTTTTTGTTGCCATTTTCATTAAGACTTTCTCATTGGTTACTTGCGCCATAGAGGACTGGTACTAAACTAAAACCTGGACATAACTATTTGACATACTGCTCTCAGGGGGCAAAATAAAAGAGTGGATCGTAATAAGTTTGGTTAGGTGGGAATCAAAAAATGTAATAAATGGTAGGGTAGGGGTGGTTGGGTAATTATTAACAAAAGTATCTTTCAAACTATTCATTATCAGAACCTAAAGAAATAAAATTAAAAATAAATGTCCAGTCAACCTTCTGTCACACAAGCTGGTTACTTTGAGGAAATTGTCCTCTGCTCTTTTTGTTGCATTTGGTCTACCAGTTCTACTTTTGGTCTTGTTTTGTCCTGTTTCCTGATGTCTCCTAATAGTATAATCTACTGTAGTTCTGGGAATTTTTATTTCTTTTAAAATTTCTCTGCTTGAATGTTGCAGCATATCTATGGATGATAATGGGCATGTCCCCATTCATATAAATACAGTATTAAATATTGTATGTTGGTCTGCACTTGGAGATTCATTGTGCAATTAACTTGACTCACTTCTAGCAGTTAACTACTACTTCTATGCACTGCTGGTGAATCTTATATGTGTTGTTCTTGTCCTAAGTATTATCCTTCATTACCAACCTTTGATTATTCTATTCAATAAGCTTTCCTAGGCTAAAACCTTGAATATCCTTCTTTTATTAAAGTAATGACCTCTTGTCTTTGTTCATGTATAAGTTCACGTGTTTTGGGCATTTTGTTAAGAAAAAAAGTTTTGATCTGGAAGAAAGTTGCAAAATTTAGGTTTTAATTTAAACATAATAAGAATAACAGATTTCACTACTGGGCAAAGTACATTGGTAGCATAGGTAAAACAGGTAATATCTAGCAAACAGTAATTCAACACAATATAATCTAATGTGAGTTCAAGTGGTGGTATAATGTAACTTTTGGAAAACAGTACTAAAGAAGAAAAACACCTTCAAATCAATTTTTCAAAAGATACCTGGTTATACTAAGGTCAAAGTTACTGAGGAAGACTTGTATTTAGTATAATAAATAAAACCATTACATTTTTGGTGCTTAACTTGTTTCATTAAAAATAACACTTTTAGGATGAGAAATAAAATTTTTTGAAGGAGGGCAAATACTTTTGATTGGTAGTATGTGTATATATATATATATATATATATATATATATATATATATTTTAGGGATATTTAGTAACTAAAGTGATAAAAACAAAGAAAAAGAAACGGAATTAAATTAGACAAAATACTCAAAACACATATTTAAAAAATCAAAATTAAATTTAAATTTCAGTGTCTCCTCTCCTTCATGTGCAAGTGTAGTCATGTGAATGTAAACATCACTTTAGTCTGATGAAGTCCTAAAGGTCAAAACATGTCACACAGAAACGTTTTACACTTTGTCACAGATTTCCCTAAATTTGTTCTCTCTCTATAATATATGGAGAAATAAATTTTTTTAATGTCAAGTTAAAATTGCTACTTCCTTTTTTTAAATGTCTGTTTTTTATCAAATTGTCTGGCTGATTTTATATCATTTAATAAAATGTAGTCAATCTGATTTTATATATATTTAATAAATTGTTATATGATCAAGTCTTTTCCTTTATATATATATATATATATATATATATATATATATATATATATATATGATGACTAAGTCTTTTCCTTTATATATATATATATATTATATGATGACTAAGTCTTTTCCTATATATATATATATATATATATATATATATATATATATATTATATGATGACTAAGTCTTTTCCTATATATATATATATATATTGATTATATGATGACTTTTTCCTTTATATATATATATATACCCCCACACACATACATACATATATACATACAAGGTTTGTCAGAAAAGAAACAGGACTGAAGTAACAAAAACTTTGTCAAATTCAACTACAAGTTTTCCCATTCAAAATTATTTCCATATTTCCCATCACACTTTCACATCCTTCCCCACCATGCCTCCATTGAAGGATTCTCCAGGATTCTCTGCAGCTGTTGTCATAGCCCTTTTGATGGCAACCATGTCCAGAAAACTGGTCCCCATGATGAGATCCTTTGTGCTTGGGAAAAAGGAAAAAAAAAAATCACAAGCAGCCAGGTCAGGTGGGTAGTGACGTTGCTCCAGTATAGTGATGGTCTCCATCTGTGAGGAGATGCTCCAGTATTTACTACCATATAGGAGATTAGATATTACAGAATTCATCACTTTGTTTTTTGTTTCTAATCTCTTAATACTTTGCTTAATTTCCGGGGAAACATATTTTGCAATTATTTGGCATCTTTGTCCCATTCCTTTACTACACTGCCCAGATCTATTCACAAATGATTAAAAGAATAATTTCAATATCTAATGTCTATGTCTACACACACAATATCTGAATATAATAATTCTGTTCATTTAAATTTTCTCCAACAGTTTAATTAGGCAAATCATATTTATAATTAAAAATAAATTGCATTTTTAAGATCAAATTCTTTCATTTACATATTCCAGACTTTTATTGATCTGTTTTCTTCATGCACAAATTCCTTCATTTTCAAAATCTATTCATACTTCATTGTTCAATTAATCTTCTTCCTGATGTACAATAATTTTCTTAAGACAATAACCTCAGTAAAAGAACAGAAATACATGCTTGGACAAAGATTATTAATAAACACTTTCCCCTCACTTTGGACATAATAAAATAAATCTTTCAAAATATACAAGCAATATTTCTTTCAAGCAGAAAATAGCAGATGTATTCTTCTTGGATATTGCAAGCTGATTTATTGTTTTAGCAAAAAGAAACATACAGAAAAGTCATTCATATTATTTACATTGTTCAGGGTGTTTTTATTGCCATATTCACAATGTTTCAGCTGTTGTATGCTTCAGCCTTCATCAAGGACATATGGCCCAGTAGATAAAAGCAATGATTAGATCCAGTGACTTGACCCAAAGACTTGTGACTTCAATACCTGGCTTCTGCAGCAGTGAATAAAAACTTGGAGAGTTGAGTTAAATGGAGATAACTGAGACATCCAGAAGAGGCATGTCACGAGGAACTAGAACAATCTATCCCAGTGGATGAAATAAAGGATTCAGTTTGCAATTCCAATCACTTGAAGAAGGCCAGCGTGTACAATGGCCGAAACATCATGAATATGGTAATAAAGATGAGGACAACAGTACAAACAATGTAAATAATGTAAATAATTGCAATACCTCATCTCGGAAATATAGACAGATAGACAGAAGAATCATAAAGATGCAATTAACATTAATATTACAAGAATTCAGAGTTTAATTTTAGTTACAGCAAGCAATTAAAATCTTTGTAAGAAGCAATTAGAATTCACCAATGTTTCAACAGTTATCAATGTTTTTTACAATTTTCAAATAAACTTTTACATGCTTGATTGTTACATGATGACAAAATTAATTCATATTGAATAAACAAGCATAATGATAATAAAATCAACGAGTAAAAGTAAAGCCTAAATATATTATCAACAAAAATGTAACCAGATTTTTAGCAGTATAAATCCACTGAATATGGGAGCATTTAAAGTTATATGAGCACAAAACAAGTTTTCTAAAACCTATTTAATGCCAATAGAAAAATAATTCTAAATTAAGGCCCAAGATACTTAAAACAGTTATAACATCATAATAGTTAAGAAATAAAAGGCGTATCCTTATTAGTTTGTGATTTAACCTCCTTCAATGGCTGATGAATATGTCTACAATGATTACAGATATTTGAAAACAAATCTCTTTCTAAAGCCTAATATTAAAGCACTGGTTTTCAACCTTTTTTGGCTATTGTACCCTTTTCACTATAGGGTCAGAATGTCATATCCCATACTTTCCAAGATTGCTTGACTCAAATGGTGCATTCTAAATAATATGCATATATTATTGAAAATCTTAATTTTTTTTTCATATTAGTATTATACATAT